TTATCAGTGCTGTGCTTTAGCTGTGCTTTAACCCACTGCGCCACCAGGGAGGGCCCCTTTTACTATTTTTTAATAGGAAAAAACCCAAAAGCTCAGAATTCATAATGCTTGATGTGTTTCAAGAATCTTATAGATAGTAAACTCAGTTCTCATCACCTTACAAGTTAGTATGATTATCTTTGTTTTGCAGAGAGAGAACTGTGGTGCAGAGATTTTAAATAACTTGTCCACATTCCCCTTTGTAGTGTGCCATAGAACTGAGTTCTAGGGAAACCTGGGAAACCTTTGCTAAAACTGCACCTTTTCAATAATGCTTACCCTAATCATCCTATCTAAAATTACAAAGCACTCTCATAGTCATCCTCCTTTACTATGCTCTTTGTTCCCCTAGAGTTTCACATCAAACATTCTATAATTTCTTACTTATTATATATTTTTATCTCTCCCAATTCAGAATATAACTCCATGGGGATGTGGGTTGATTTTTTTGTTGTTGTTGAACAGTGTATTCCCAGCACTGTGTAGTAAGTACATAATAAGTATTTGTTGACTGGCCTGGCTCTAGAGGAACTTAGTCTGGCTGGGGAGACCTAACATAGCAATATACAAAGACAATTTGAAATAAATTCCTTATCAGTGGCATATGGTAGCTGAGCAATTAGCACTCAACTGAATATAATAGGAAGAATATTCAGGGTTTTTTTCCCAGGTCAAGATTTCCAGTATGGGTTATACCTTTTTGAAAGGTATATTCCTCTCTTCTGTACATCTTAGGTAGACGAAATAATAATCAGAATGGTACTTCATGAACTTGGGAATGGATCAAAAGAAATGGATAGTTCTGAAGAAAAATGAATTCATACTGACAAAGCCTACCAGAAGTGAAACATGCCATTATTGACTAGAATATTTTTTGATTTGGGAACTTTACATTAAGTGCATTTGAACCCCTTATAGATTGATTTTTACATTAATAATGCATTTGACAAACTTAAATTCCTTGGTCATCCTGATTGTATATGGGTACAATTCCTAGTCTCAGCCACATTTGTATTGACAGCATTAGTTACAAGAGGTTACTGTTGAAGATGCTTAAACGTATTCATTTAATAATCATATTACTTAATTAATTTGGATTGTTATTCACCTAAACTATGAGATTGACCTTTTAAAGATCTGAAGGTACTGATAGTTGCCTATTATTAACACACTTCCCTTTTACATTTTGAATATGTTTTCTTTTAGCTGGGCTTAAGGTTAAGTTCTCCCTCCACCCCTTTTTTTTTCTTTTTTTAAGATTTATTTATGCATACAGAACTGGGGTACAGAGCAGAGGTATAAGGGAGGTGAGAGGATTCACCAGAGACAATGGGGAACAGAACAGGCAGATCGACGAAGTACACTGCTGATGGGAGCAGTGGGCGGGTCAGGAGAGGTCTGTGCCGTGTGGGTCACCTCCCTGGCTGGGGATTGAACTCGTGCTGAAGCAGCCACTGTGGCTAGCTTCATAGTGCTGTGCTTTAACCCATGGAGCCACAGGAAGGGCCTCTTTTCTCTTATTTGTATGGGCTCTCTTTGTATATTTTTGTGATCAGTACTTTATCAGTTTTGTGTGAGAAAAAGTTTTCCCTATCAGTGGGTTGTCTGTTTTTTGTAATGTCTTTTTTGCTGTACAGAAACTCTCTAACTTGATGTGGTCCCATCTAATTGTCCTTTTCCTTCACTATCATTGCATTGGGTGCTGTATCTTCAAAGATGTTACTAAAGTGTATGCCATGCAGTGTTTTGCC